TTTTTTTTTTTTCATGGAAATCGTTAACAGGTCTTGGTTGCATCCCAATGTGGAATGAGAGTGTTTTATTTCTTGAGAAGCTTCGCAGGGTGGGGGAAAAACATTTTATATCGTGTTCTAATAGCAAAACATTTAAACATGATCCTATTTGTCGGAGGTCCTTGCTGCTCCTGGTTAATTTACTCAGTGACAGTTAAATTTCCTTTATGCCTTGTGTCATTATCTTCTGCCCTCTGCTAGGTATGTTCTATATGTCATATCATTAAACATTAGGGATATAAATAGTTTTTGAAACAAAGTGCATCCTGAATCATTTCATATCTAGACAAGTCAGTACCTCATTGCTGCAGGAAACATCTCATTAACTAGAAACATTAGAAGTGGATGCAAGGCAGGCTTATTATGGATCTCCTAAATGGAAAAATAAAGATGTAGCTGTTCTGATGTGTGAATTCTTTCTACTTCCGATCTCTAATGAGCAACATTGTGTTTAGTTAGTATTCTGTGCAACTTTGGCCATAGGCATGGCTTGCAGAATATACATATGCTCAGACATGGGTGGCTGAATTTTTTCCACTGATTCAAGGTCAAGTAGCTTAGTTTGGCCCTTATGGCAGGGGGGAGTGGAGTGGGGGATGCTCTCAAGGTACTTTGCAGTTGGTGTAGTAGTTTTAATGCTTCTATCTCCATGCTCTATAAGGGCTCCAAACTGGTGGATCTTCAGTTTTTTTGATGCCCTTTCCTTTATCCCTTTGTGACCTGGCACAGTGATTACTTCAAATCACTACATTCCATTATCTCTAAATATTACATACCACAGCTTCTAAGGTGTAATCAAGGTCACAGCTTCAGTGCAAGTGGGTAAAATCCTGGCCCCATTGAGTAAATAGCTAAACTCCCAACAACTGTCAAAGGACCAGAATTTCGGTCAATATTTGTGGCTCTTGGGGATAGAAGAGAGTGCTGGGTATCTTACTGGAAAAATTGTTTGATTGTTCCAGAGGTCCTGCTTCCCAAAAGAAACATAACTTCTTCATTACGAGTGCACTGAATTCGTATATAAATAGCCACTTCCTGAGTGTCATTGAATGGTAGAGAACTGTCTACCGAGAATGAGAATTTATTCATTCTTAGTCGACTCTAGAGGGGCCCAGGTTTCATTTTCTTAATTTTTTTTCCAAACGTTTTGATTTCTGGAGAGAAATTATTTTTTTGTTTAATACAGATGTGCTTTTTATTCAAAGCTTTTTGTAATGTCGTCCATATCCCATGTACCCTTTGCTCTTAACACGTGCTCCTCTATATCAACATTTCTGTCTTCCTCCTTCCCTTCCCCACATCCTCGCTGTCTTCCTGGTAACTTTCACCCCACTACAGCCCCCATCAGCTGTACTTCTCCTCTTATCCTCTCCAGCGTGATTTCCCCATATCACCCACTATCATAAATCTAGGTACCACATTCATATCTTCCTCCCACTTTGGGCCCTCCACTTCCTTCATCTACCATACCAAGCTCTGTCACTTTCTCTGTTCATGTCATTACACCTAACCTCACACCATCCCATGCCTATCTTCTTTTGCTATCTCTGGGCTATTAGTTTCTAAAAATAAAAACCCAACCATTCACTGGGCATGTGTACATGTTCATTAATGCACTTTTGCTACTGAAGATTAAGTGTAATACCTCTAATATGACATACTACATCAAGGCATGTTAAGCTACCCTAATGTGCAGTAGCAAAAGTGAATGCCTTTTTAGTGATGCTTAATGTACAGTTGACCAATTCTACTGTGCACTACCATATTAGCACTGTTTTTGATGTGACGTTTTAATGTGCAGTAGAACAGGCCACTGTCCACTGTCTCTTCATATTGTTCTCCTACCAACTCCTGGCTCTCAGAGAGCTGGAACACTTCTCTTCATGTTGCGTCTGCAGCACTGCCTTCTCCTCATCTAGTATTACACTCTTAGGCCCTCTGTCTTCTCCCACTTTCTCTCCTTTCTAAGCAGCCCCGGAAGGAGAACAATTCCTCTTTGTTCTCTACCTCCACGCGAATTGTCTACTCACCATCTCCCCATTAGCCTTCCTTCCATCTCAGCTGCTACCTCTCTCCATTTCCACACAGTCTCCAACACCAATCTCAGAATCTTCAACTGGACTAGTCAAGGATTTTAGTTAACCCATTTTTTTGTGGGAAATAACAGCTCTCATTAAGATAAGCTTTGGGCAGGACTGGACTAGTATATACACAAAACTTTCCTGGGAACAGTTTTTCAGCCTCATAATAGATTTCCTGGTCAAAAGTGGAGAGAGAGAGACTCACCCGCCATGAACCATTGCTGTGACACTCCCTCCTTGCTAAATTAATACTTAACTTAATGTAAAGTGAACTAGTTTCAGCAGGAGGGATTGAGAAAGATCCATCTCAGAAATTCCAACAGCTTTGTGTTCTACCTTCCTCCACAAAAAGCCCATTTTGGGGCACAGTACTGCTCAATAGGAGAAATGGTGGAAAAACCTAGCCCATAAAAATAACTAGAAAGTAGACATTTTTTTCCAGTTGTAATTGTTCATACTTACTCTCCATTGTGATTAAAGTTGTCATATCGCAGGAAAAGGGAGGCATAAACGGTCTCGGTCAGCAGAGCGTAGATTGCAATCATGATGAGAAGAACTGCCAGCTTCAGGACAGAGTTGAGACGAAGGAACACTGCACAGGTCACCATTGCCAGGACACCAGTGAAGACAAAATACTGAAAGATGGGCATTAATGGTCAGCTTCAGTAGTCAGTGAAACTTTACTGCAATCAGAATTTCCAAGGTGCCCACCAATTGTGCTAATAACTTTACAAAACCCAGTCCTATTCTTTCTACTTGCTACCTAAAAACTGTAGCACCCATACATGAAGGACACTTCTAATAATATAGGCCTAAGCATTTATGGTGGTGCTATTTTTTTGCAAGTAGTATCTAGGTCTGTAAATAGGTTTCTGCAAATCTTTGGCCATGGAATTGACAGCAGGACCTACCTACCAGTGCACACTTAATGTCTTATTTAAACAAACAAGAAAAAGATTTCTAACACCACTTAGCTGTCCAGTGAGCCCAGTTTTAATAACTATGGGGTGCAGTCTGCCTGAGTCTCCTGAAGCCACTCATTGTCTAGTTGTGGAAGGCAGTCCCCCTTGATTAAAGACATTGCACTTAATGGGCATATCTACATGAGACTTTTACTGCATAGTTGACTAACTCCACAGTAAAGTGTCACTGTTTACATGTGCAGTGTTAGGATAGAGTCAATGAATTAACTCCACCATAGGACAGTACTGCTAGACACAAGTATTATCCTATGGTGGAGTTATTTACTCCACTGCAATGCATGTGTAGCTGCTGATGGGGCAAGCTGGGGCATGAGGGTGCTTCAGTGTGGGGGCTGCCTGCCAGCTAGCCCCAACACTGTGCACCCTTGTGCACCAGCCAGCCCCTCCACAGCACATTGAGCTAGGTTGGAGCAGCCCTGGGCTGGCAGGCTGACCCTTAGGGAAACTCTGCCAGCCTGGGCCGCTCCACCCTGGTTCAAGGTGCTGCTGTCCTTGACACACATGCAAATGCAGCACCTGGGAGCAATAATAAGTTCCTGTGCAAGCTGCACTGGAGTTTATTTAGCTGCATTAACTGCACATGTAGACATGCCCAATGAGAAGAGGAGGCTTCCCTTCTTATCAAATGCTTGCTCTCCTGTAAAGAAGAAACTGAGACCAAGAAGGAAAAGGACTAGGTTTAAGCCCCTGAGAGATCTTACATTTAAGACGTGATTAGCTGGTTAATCATGTCTTAAGTAGTGACCTTGCCACATGTTCAATCGATTAATGGCATGATAAAATGAGGAATGAGCCACAAAGTTATTACATATATTTTGTGTAACAATGTTGTGGTGAGTTCTTATCACCTTTAATTGAATGTGTGGACAAGGCCCAGTTTCTGGAGCATGTGGGAGCCCATCATGCTCCAGAGGCTGGGAGACCCCTCATCTGATTGGGGCTCCAGTGGCGGGAGCCAGGCCTGTTATTTGCCAGTCTATGGTGAATCCAGGATCAAGCTCCCCCTGCATTGGCAATGGCATCTGATGCAGGTTTCTATAATCAAGCCTCTTGCTATGCACATCTGGCATGACAGGAAGCATGATTGTTAGGATCCTGAATCAGAACTTATTGCAACTCTACTGTAACATCTGTCAGGAAGGCCAAGACTGCCTGCAGGGAAACGGGATGAGCGAGGCCAGGGAAGCCAGGTGGGCAGGAGTGGGGGAGGAACCCCTGCTCTCCTTAGGACAGGGGTCTGAACCACTTTGCCCCCCTACCTGGGGAAGTCCTGCTACAGTGGCTGCTCTCGGGTCACAACTCAGCTGGGCTGCAAATAGGTGAGCACATGAGTGAGCAGCCCACACTCACAGCAGCGCTCTCCCCCTGCCCTGCCTAGCCCCGCCCCGCCACATCCCAGCTGACCTCCACCCCAGGCAAGAGAAGCAATGCCCCATGCTCAGGAGGAGGTGGGCTGGGCAGTGTGGGTGGGGTGGTGCCAATCCAGCACTTTTTGTCTGAATTTTTACTAGCCAGTTGGGATGATGGGACAGCCTACAAAATCCAGGCCTGTCCTGGCCAAAATGGGATGTATGGTCACCCTATTTACAAACATAATTATGATTCCCTTAATTACCATCAGAAATTTTTAATACCCCTAGACAAATAAAGCACACTGGATCACACTGTCCAGTCCATGGGAGTAGTTTAAGCCATCAAAATGCCATGAAAACAGCCAGAGATGATCAACCACCAGATGATGAAAAAAAATGTAATCGCAGTTCTCTGCTACTTCTTTGGCCAGATACTCCAGACTCTTGGCCTAATTAGGTGGGGGTGTTCTGTGCTCAGTCTAGGTAGGGTAGGGAAGGGAAAATGTAGTGCACTTAGTTGTCCACTGGCAAATGATTCCTCAAGACGAAAACCAAGTCTGCCCCTGTGCAATATGGATTTGCACCCTGGTCTGTGGCCTTAGGATCAACTAGCCAGCAACCTGTTGCATTTTATACTGTCTGAGTGAGAATCAAACCCATTAGGGTTTTGTAACATGCAGCTCTATTTCATTGATCTCTTAGCATTTGATACCGGAAGCCTCGTTCATGTCTCATTTTCTAAAATCATCAACTTCTCATTTTTCCTAATGATTAGTCATTTGTCAAGAATTATCTGTGTGCTGGGGATGGACAGAGAGGAAAATATCCTCCTGGCCTCAAGCTGCTTTCACTTGTCAACATCGACCACAAATACCACAGTGTAAAGAAACAATCATAATAGATCATCAGTAACAATATGCAGCAGTTACAGAATTTTTTAGCATACTTTTTCTTTTCCCGTCTTTTTCACCTTCTGTTGTCCGGTAATTTATGCTTGTCTAGAAATTAGCTGCATATCCGTGGCAACATTGTGACATTGCCAAGTACCTTTGTTTTTATCTACAGATGACCAACCCATTTACTACCGCTGATTTGTTTACTCCCAATGGAAGGAAAGAGTCCATCTGCTTCAAAGGTGCAGATGGGAAGAAAACCACAGTGGTGGATTTGCTGCACTTCTTTTTTGGCATGGAGGAATTTGGCAGCAACCAACTTCCATTTGATATTGTATTGTATTAAAATGGGCACTCATCAAGTATTTCTAGGTGCATTTATAATTAAGAAAAACCACAATTAGAAATCAAATGGAATAATTGACAGATGCCCGCTGAAACAGGACTCCACAGCCAATAAAAGCAGTTTACACTGCATTGTCAAAGATTTCTGTGTAGCCAGGCATTTAAATAGCCCTTTCCTTTTATTTGATTTTGGTAGGACATAAAATGTGACTAAGTATTGGTTAAATGGAGATTTTTGCAGGCAGACTGGTCTTGCAGTTGCCCTGATTCCTGTGGAAGAAGAACACTTTGTTAGCCTGTATCAGATGGGGTGGTTGTGACATGATTAGGTTTTGAAGTCCTTAGTTGTAGTGAAAGCTATCTGCATATGCAGCTAATTGTTAGGATAATCTAGAAGGAGGAGCTCTCAGAAGTCACTCTACCACCTGGAGAGGGTAAGGAGTGGTTATAATACTCTACAAGGCTGGCATGTTTGTTTTCTTTCTAACTTACCATTGCCAGAATTTGGGTGAACAGGAAGGCCCAGATCTATGAAGTATTTGGGCACCTAACTCCAATTCCTTACAACTAGAGGTAAGTAAGGGAAGACCTTTGTGGATCTGGAACTAAGGGCACTTTTACATGGGACCTGGGGGTGGGAGGTAATGCAAAGTAGCTCTGAGAGCACTATAATTGAAGTGCCACAGCCTCTCGTGTATCAGCGTCCCCATGCTTAAAAATGGTGGCAGGGATGCTTGAACTACAGCTTGTTGAAGGAGCTTTAGTTCACATGCCCCCACTGTCATTTTTAAGCCAGGGGATGCTGATACATAAGACGCAGGAGGCTGGTGGAGTGCAGTAATTGCCATACTCCGGCAGACTTGACTAATCAAGTCTGCTACAATGTGCACTTGTGTACAGGCACCCCAAGATTTTAAAACATTTACAAGCAAGTTATGAAATACCTCGGGATAGGAGCAGATGTCTGTAAAAGATGCAGAGGAATTGAATGTCTGGTTCTTAAAGGGTACTGGTTTGTCAGAATCACACCATAGCTGCAGGTGGGGGGGAAAAAAAGGGAAAACAAAGTTAGGGACATTATGGTAACCTGGTGTCCAATAACTAACCAGCTTGATGGGCCTGAGGTATGGAATTCTTTTTTTTATCCAACTAGTAACCTTTTTAACAGTCCTAATAGGAAAGCCAAGGATCGAATGGGGAAAAAGAGGCCCAGGAAATCTGCATATACTTTTCCATTGGTAGGTTAAGAGCAAACGCATACTAGAAGACCAAGTTTACTTTCAGATATGTTTTTTCTTCCCATATAAAAGTGGTGCATGTGTTTTGAGGGCATATACACTAAGACTGATTTAATAGATTTCATAGACGTTAGGGCTGGAAGGGACCTCAGAAGATCATCGAGTCCAGCCCCTCACCCCAGGGGCAGGAAGTCAGCTGGGGTCATAGGATCCCAGCAAGATAGACATCCAAATTTCTCTTGAGGGTGTTCAATGTAGATGCATGAACCACCTCTGGTGGCAGACTGTTCCAGACCTTGGGGGCTTGGACAGCGAAGAAATTCTTCCTTATGTCCAGCCTGAAACGGTCTTCATAGTTTCATAGATTTAGGGTCGGAAGGGACCTAGTAGATCTTCTAGCCCGACCCCCCGCCAGGGCGGGAGAACAACAAAACCCCAAAACAAGAAACAGGACTCAAATGAGTCCAGCCAGGTAGGCATCCAGCCTCTTCTTAAAGACCCCCAGGGTAGGGGCCAGCACCACTTCCCTTGGAAGTTGGTTCCAGCTCCTAGCCGCCCTAACTGTGAAGTAGTTTTTGCAGATGTCCAATCTATACCTCCTCTCCATCAACTTGTGCCCATTACTCCTTGTTATGCCAGCGGGCGCTAGGGGAAACAGCGTCTCCCCCAAACCCTTCTGGTCCCCCCTAGTGAGTTTATAGACGGTCACCAGGTCCCCCCTCAGCCTTCTCTTGTGGAGGCTGAATAGGTTCAGGTCCCGCAGTCTCTCACTGTAGGGTCTGCCCTGTTGTCCCCGGATCATGCGGGTGGCCCTCCTCTGGACCCTCTCCATGTTGTCCACATCCCTCCTGAAATGGGGCGCACAGAACTGGACACAATACTCCAGCTGTGGCCTGACCAGCGTCGCGTAGAGGGGGAGGATCACCTCCTTGGCTCTACTCGAGATGCACCTGTGGATGCACGACAAGGTCCGGTTAGCCCTGCCAACCATGACCTCGCATTGTCGGCCCATGTTCATCTTGGAGTCAATAATGACTCCAAGATCTCTTTCTGCCTCCGTGCTCTCAAGTAGGGAGTTCCCCATTGTGTAAGTGTGCTGCTGGTTCCTACTGCCCAAGTGCAGCACCCTGCACTTGTCCGTATTAAAACGCATCCTGTTCCTGTTAGCCCACCCCTGTAACCTATCCAGATCCCTCTGCAATCTCTCACTCCCTGCTAGCGTGCTCACCTCCCCCCAAAATAACGGTTATAAACTCCAGCAAGACCGTTTCAGGCTGGACATAAAGAAGAATTTCTTCACTATCTGAGCTACATTGAGAGTGTAGTTTCTCTAAATATGGGCTTGTTTCCCATAGCTTCAGTAGGAATTTGGTTTGTGAATCTGAAGGCCAAATCTGGCTCTATGATTTTAGGTGTGACATTCAGGATGAAAGTAAATGAAGGTGTTTTACAGGCGCATATTCCATAATACCAGGATAGATCTATCTGATACCCTTGAAAATATTCTTAGAAATGGGGTTAATGGACATATATTTATTAATTTAAGTCTAAACAAAATGAAGGGGGAAATTAGCAGAGGAATTTCATGCTGGAGATTAGGAAGGACTTTCTGTCTATGAGGGTGGTCAAGCATGGGAACAGGCTATTTAGAAAAATTGTGGAATCTCCATCCTTGAAAGGTTTCAAAAGCAGGCTAGACAGACACTTTGCTACGATGGTTTACTTAGGGATGATCCTGCCTTGACGGGGGGGGCTGGGTTAGATGACCTTGTGCAGGCCCTTCCAGCCCTACTTTCCTATCATCTGAATATAGAATGAAAACCTTCTCTAATGATCTCAGATCTTGAAAATTAAGTGAGAAGGAGTTTCTTGTCTCGTATATTAATCCAATCTGGATATTTATGACAAGTCATTTCACTAGACTCAATACTTATATATTTGATTCTCTGCCGTTCCATCAAACAGCATTTGTTTAATGAGGTCCAATTTTTTAAAATTACATTCTAATTAGAGTTGAATTTGCAATCCCTTATTTGTTCTCTTAATAACTGTCTTGTCTCAGCAATATAGTACTATTCTCTAGGTTATTTGTACAATTCTCAGTGACAATTGAGAGTTAATGACCTTTGCATATGAACTCTGCCTAGAATGCCTCTAGCTGCAATACAGTCTTAAACTATTTTAGATATCATGTTAAACACTCTTTAAGCTCAGAGGTTGTATCCTTATGCTCAGCTAAGCGTGGCTGAACCAGTTTGAAGAACCATTAGACCTGCTTGGCCTTCTGATGAATATATGAACCAAAACTTAAATATTTCTGGAAGTTGGAATACTAGTCATATGTGATCAGTATAGTGATTAAAATAGTGCCATATTCATGATATGACTCCAAACATTGTGGATGAAATCTTAGCCCCATTGAAATCGATGTGCATTTTGCTATTCTTGCTAATAGTAATGATCAGTGACTACATTCTTCTTTCTGCCACTGACCTTCCTACCGCTAGAAGCAGGGTACCACACTGAAATGGAACAAATTCATTTTTCTATCGGAGGTAAAACTAAAAGCCTGTTAATAACCCAAGCTCAGTCGCCGTACGATGACAACAACAAAGCTCAATGCAATTGAACACCTATTAGCACAAGGGTGGGCAATTATGTCAGGTGGAGGGCCACTTACTGAGTTTTGACAAGCCGTTGAGGGGCAGCCAGGGCAAGATAAATATTAATTTTCTAAATTTTGTAGGGGCCCCGCAGGCCAGATAGATTGGCCTGGCGGGCCGCATCCGGCCCACGGGCCGCATTTTTCCCACCCCTGTATTAGCAGAAACCTCATTATGCAAACGCTTGATTAGCCTCTAGGTTGGACTTCAATACACAAGACCTTTTTTTTGTTCTTTTTCCCTCCATTTGATAATATTTCCTTATCTGAAGGGCTGGTGGAAAAGATTAGATTAGGAAAAGTATTGGATGGTGGGGCATTTATCATTGTTAGGGTTTTTGCGGGGGGATTGGGGGGGGCTTGTTTTGTTTGGAAAGTGTCTTCAAGCCCTTGGACCATAAAAACTTAAGAAGTGCCATAATGGATCAGACCAGTGGTCCAGCTAGCCCAGTAGCCTGTCTTTAACAGTAGCAGAAGTGGATGCTTTAGAGGGAGAGTATATGTACAGGGCATGTTTAGTGTAATTCATCCTCTGCAATACTCTCCCTGGCATCCACCATCATTAGTTTAGAGGTGCTATAGGATGCACCCTTGACTGTTCTGTTTAATAGCATTGAATGGATCTATTGCCAATACATTTGTCCAGTCCTATTTAGAGCCTGGCTATGCTAGCCGCGTCTACAACCTTTTTGGTATTGAGTTCCACAAGTTAACTTTGCATTGCATAAAAAGTACTTTTGTTAGCTTTAAACCCGTCTCCTGCTAAGTTCAGTGGGCACCCGCTAGTTCCCGATTCATTTTGTCCACTCCCTTTATGACTTCTATCCAACCCTTCCCTGCAGGAACAGTCCTAGGCTTTTTTATCTCTCCTGGTTTGCCAGCTGCTCCATATCTCTTGATCATTTTAGCTATCCTTTTTTGTATCTTTCCCAAGTCTACTACCTCCTTTTTGAGATGCAGAGACCAGAACTGCACAGACTATTCAAGATGTGGATGCGCCATGGATTTGTATAGTGGTGCTATACAAGGTGGTGATTACATTAGTGGTGCTGATATTTTCCATTTTGTTTTCAGTTCCCTTCCTAATGATGCCAAACACTTTATTACCTTTTTTGATCACCACTGCATATTAAGTGGATGTTTTTAAAAACACTGTCTACATGATTCCAGGGCCTTTTTCCTGAGTTGTAACTCAGAACCCAGCATTGTGTATGTAGGTCTAAAAGGTGCTATAAATATGTACCTTTCTGGTAATATTGGAGAGAGAAACATATGTACCTTTTATTTGTGAACATTTATCTGGACAATAAATCTTAAGAAACCACACCGTTACATTAGAAGACCAAAAAGCAAGGATATATTGAGCAGAAACTATCAGAAAGGATTAAAAAAAGATAAATTAACCACTTTAGAAAATCATATTTGAAATAACATATCAAATTTTATGGCACTGTAATGCACAGTCTCTTTTTAAATCAGCTGGTTCAAAAATGCATTAGTTAACAGGAAGAATTGAAGCTTAATAATTCATAAATTATCTTTTTCTGGTACAGATATATAAAATTCCCTCATTGCCTCTGATACTTACAATATTTATGATGGCTCCTAGAAAATTAATCATAATGGATGCAAAAATGACAACATTCCTGGCCAAGTAGGTCTCATTAATCCAGCAGCAAATTTTCCGGAGCACGAGGGGTAAACATTTATAATCCTCTGCAGTGGTGATAAGCACAAGGGCAGAGTGCAGCATAATCAGAATAGAAAACTGAATGACCATCGGCATCATCCTGCAAGGAAACACAAAACAAATCAACGTGGCAATAAAAATATACTAGAACAGTATTAGTTAACATTACTGAGATTGCATTTTCATTCCTTTCCCCTTCTTTTATTTTCTTTAAAATTCAGTTATTGTAAGGTTTGGTACAGTTAACTCCAAGAAATATTACAGTGAAGACAAAGGACTATTTATATCCCCCATAGCTGTCCATTGCTTTTGCCCATTTTATTACCCCCTTTCTTGCTAGACAACTCCGGTCAAGTCTATAAAAATGACTACGGATGCCACACAGGGTGGTCTAATGGTAGAAAAATTCCCTTCTCCAGAACTCAGCACTTCCCTTTAAAGAGGCTTTGAAAGCTACTGGACCCATACTTAGGATTCTGACTTTATTTGCATACAAGCTGTTAGTCACTCTTCAAGACTGGTTAGCAAAAGCCAGGTTCAGACAATGCTATTATAAATATAGAGCTATGTCAAGGTATCATAAAAATCTAGTCCCTGGAGTCAGATTTTGAGAAGGGACCATTATGAATGTCTAATCTGATTCCTTTCATAATACATAATACAGGCCATTGTACTTGCAGAACTATCAGACTTACCATGTTCTGCTTATGAGTCATTAACATTGTGCCCAGAATCACAGCAGTTTTGCAAAAATCAAAATAACTAGTCCCTTGTTTCCTTGGAAGCCCTTCAAAATATAGAGTGCAGGGAATTGTGGCATGTGACCCTTACAGAGGCATTAATAGAGTGAAGGTTAAGTAAAAAGTGCCTTTTGGCATATTCTTGATTTCTTTTTTCTAATCTGATCTTTAATCAAGTCCTACTGGTATATACAACATCCTGCCATCTGTGATGCAGCACATAGAATTTGAGCCCCTTGCATAAATGCCCACCATTCGTTCCAGTTGCTTCCTTAAATTGAAACCCGTGAGTTAAGCTGTTATTGTTTTTAGCAGCGTAGGAGTACCCCAGAGGGATTTGAAGGTTTACATATAGACCAGGTGTAAGTAGTAGATTGTGGGGACACTGTTGTATGGTGAAGTATAGATGCACCCTGTGTTCCTTATACCTATCCTAATGGCTGAGAAGCTGGAGGTATGTCTTCAAACCTCATCTGGGTGAGAGGCCTAGAACCTGAGTCTACTTTTGCAAAGCTAAATATCTTAACCCCTAGGCTACTGGGCTATAAAGTGCCCTCATTTTCCACTTTAATTTTTTGGAGATAAGTGTGCAGGGCCACTTTATTTTTCCACAGAGGGAAGAGTCTTAAAATTGTGTGCAAATGGAAAAAAGGTGCCATTATGTGGATACGCATGTGACACTTAGATACACAAAGTGAAGTTGAAAATGGATATTTTCACATGAGAGCACAATAGTTATTCCATATACTTAAGTTGGGTCTCCATAAATATTTTGTTTTGGCTTTGTATAGTAAAAGCTGCATTATCTGGCACCTCACAAGCTGGCATCTCTATTAACCGTCATGCTGGCTTGTAAGGTAAAAGCGAAACCGTAAGTGCCCACCATGGCACTTCTGGGTTCACCAAGCCCCCACGGCCTGGGGCAAAGCAGCCTGCGCTACCAAGCCCCCATGATAACAGTTCCTTTTTTCCTTTCTCTTCAGCCCCCCTCCCTGTCCCTCGCAGTGGGCAGGGTGGTGGCATACCAGATGTGGCAGGAGAGGTGGTGGCCTCTCAGGTAACCGGCATATTTGGTTAGCCAGCACCCCCCATTCCCCATGGTTGCCGGATAACAAAGCTTTTGCTGTATATGGATCATTGTGGAGACTGCATGTGTAAATCCAAACAGAAGCGTTTAACAGATTTATTGATACAGTTTAATCTGCTGAGGCAAGTCAGCAGAAGATCAGTAGGAGTGATTTATATATCATGGTCCCCTAGGACAGAGGGACTAAAACCAGGAGATTTGGAGGAAAAAAGGGAAAAAAACAAAAACAAACCAAAAACATTGCCAGGTTGTTCATGATCCATCTTCAGAGGCCTCCACCTTCAACCAGTGGCTACCTCCTACACCCACATATACTTCCATAGGCACTACATTGCCTGCCTTCCTCTTCCAAGAAGGATGACTAAGGCTCCTTTGGAGCTGACCAATTTCATTCCTATATAAGCCAAAAAATGTCATCTGGACCAAAACCCAGAATGCCTCTCTAGTGTTGTCTACTGACTCTACAGAGACCCACCCTGATCCAGCTTGCAGAGAAGTCACTGGCCATCTTCCAAGGGCAACTGCATCAAGACCAAAGAGACTAGACCTCAGGAAACTAAGCCTGGGTGTCTCATCACATATTTCAAAGCACCAACTGCTGAACTGCTTAGCAACTAGTATCTTCATCATTTTTTAAATAGATGCAATTGTTTAAAAAGCAGCAGACTGTGTGAGATGGAGAAACATGCTACAACTCAAATAACCAAGCACAACAGCCAGAAATAAAAGTTGCATAACAGATTGCTCTGGGATGATAAATAGGCTTACATGAGCATATAGAGAGAAACTGAATCAATTCCAAGGCTTTTCGGGAAGAGATGAAGAACTACAAGGTTTGCAATGACATGTAATGGCTTCATAGAAGGTAATTACATTGGGGGGTGGCATTACTTTGTGCCGCTTAAATAATCTCCCATCGTGACATTTCAGAGGATAAAACTGCTGCAGATATGCTAAAATTCAGAAGAAAATTAAGAAGACTACACACGGATCAAAATATCCTCCTTTTTTCTTCCTTGTGGACATGTATAAACTGAGATAAAATTCAGAAACTTCTGTATACACTGGATGTGATGATGGACCACTGACTTCCCTTCTCTAGCATGACAGCATGCAGCACATCTCCAAGTGATACTAAAGATGGTGGCTAAGGTATTTTTCAGGATCATTTAAATACTATTTCCTGTCCTTTGTGTTCCCAATAATTCACTGGAGCCCCAGCTCAATAAAGGCCCGCTTCAGTGTTTTAACTTTAAGCATATGCGTAATCCCATTCCTATTCGACAAACTAGTGATGCATTCGGCAATGCTCCACTGAAATCAAAGGCATGTAAACGTGCTTAAATTTTGTTATGAACTGGGAGCTAGTAAGTTTAAAGCTCTAAGTCGGTTTCTTCATCTAAATGTTTATCACCCTCCATACTTAAAGATACTCATTTGTTACTTTGAGGCAACTAGTATCGTTATCTGCATGCTTTAGGAATAGGATTTTGTTTTCAAAACTATGTATATAGGCTTTACAACCAGGAAAAACTGTGGGTCAAAATATGCCTTTATTATTCTTGACAGTAACCTTTCAGCTCCTAGACGAAGAAATCTTCCATGAAGCAGAATAATATGAAAGAAGAAAAAGGAAAGGGAAAAAGCTGCAGGGCAGATGGGTGTGACGTTTATTCCTTCCTGATTTCTTATGGTTTGCCTTGTGAAAATTAGCGGAGAGGAATCCATACAAAGGGAGTGCGTGTCAGATATTGCTGCTGTTTTGAAGTGATTGATTTGGCAGCAAAAATGTTCAATGGAAAACAGGTCCCATAGGCAAGCTCCATAAATCCTACCATACACAAGCAAGCAGAAGAAAAACAAGCAGTCTAGACAGGGAAGATTAATATACTGGAAGGAGCAGGACTTTAAAATAAAATAAACTAACTTCATAATATCATTGGCAGCAACACGGCAAATGAAGTGCTAAAAGACGAAATATTAGAACTGGGAAGCTCTGAGAGTCACAGCTGAGGGCAAGCATGAAGTAAAATCGGGTAACAAGACTCAGTTTTTAGACCAGCTTCTAAACACAATACTGTTTTTAATTTGTGATTAGAAGAATATACTTCAGGGCTGTCCAACTGGTGGCCCGTGGGCCACGTGTGGCCCCTGGACTCCTGCTAAGCCACCACTCCCCCTGTTGCTCTAGCTCCAACAGCAGCCACAGCCTCCAGGCTTCCCATCCCTCCTTCATGATGGGGAGAGTTCAGGGTGAACCAAGGGCCACGCACATGATGCAGCAGAGGGAGGGTGCCCATGTAGGCATTGTGTACAGTCCATGGGATGTCTGTGTGGATGCACAATGCAGCAGTGGAAGGGCATACATGTAGGATCACTGAAGCAGTGGAGGAGGTGCAGGCATGTGCTGCAGCAGGTGGAGCATCCTTGCAGCTTGTAGCCCCCGCTGGCATGGACTGTGTCCCTTAGCCGCTTAGAACTTGAAGAGCCCTGTATAATGTCTAAAGATGTGTTTAGCAAGTGGAGATCAGGTAAATCTGAAAGGGGTTGAGGGCATACTGTAATCTTACAGTAGGTATGAATAGGGTGACTATATGGGATAATGTGAAATTCAGGACAGTGCACCCCCCACTCTCCACAGGCTGTAGGGAGTCAAAGGTCCATTAATGACCCATTGTTCTTTACTTCACATGTGTTTAAAAATCACCTGTGAAGTAACAATTGGTGTTAATGGGGTTTCCTATTTCACAGCTCATGCTGCTCTGCCTCCATGCTCATCTTACTGTTCACCAGCTGGCTGGGACCGGCCTCTAAAATCTGGGACTGTCCTGATCAATCTGAGACACATATGGTCACTCTAGCTAAATGCATGTGATTTAAAAATAAAAATAAATAAATAAAAAAGAAGAGGTAGCACTGAGCAGGGCTCATTTTATCAGAGAACTAAGTTTTGTGAGAATTGAGAGAGATTCCTGTATAGACTTTTGCAACATGCTCATCCTTGTCATATAGGGGCAGGCCTCGGAGAAAGCATTTAATGGATTTTTAAAAATGTGTGATTGATAAATGGATTGAAAACCACATGTCCAAAGCTTCTGGGATTTTTATTAAAAGCTTCAGTCCAGCTTAGAAAGAAATGTATTGCAAAAAACAAGGAGCATTCAGCCATTCTGCCTCCCTTACCTTACAACCTTTCACCTGGAAAGAGCCAACAGAGGGATTTGGAGGGATTGGGTACAATGCTGAGTGTTGCGATTGAAGAAATGGACATTTTATGAAAGAAAGCAGTAGCAGGGGATAGGAAATCGTATGCACACTTCTATGATCCTATACAACACATTCAGCCACATCTGGATGTGGGATCTATAGGTTTACACATATTCAAAGCCTGAGTCTGAACCTTGTCCCTTTGTTGTCTTGTTAGTAACCACTGAATTGTAATTAAACACTTCCTTACAAGGGAATGGCACTCAAATTTTCTATATTTGCAATCATGGTTGTCATTCAAGCATTGGACCTCTATCCCTCTCATGGTCTATTTTAAGTACCTTACCATGCTGAAGATTTAGAAGACCGTAAGGGTTACATTTTCAAAGGTACTAAACAAGATGTGTGCACCAGACTCCCATAAAGTTCTTCTAGCATGTTCTCCACAGGCAAATGGTGTGTGTGGGCATGAATAAAAGAAAAGAGTGTCTGGGCATGCTGGTAGAGTTAATTTGTTTGCTTTTTTTGTGAGGTAATATTCTTTCCAGAGATTTACCTTATCTGTAGGAAGTCTCATCTACTACCACTCTGCCTGAAAAAGTGACAGCCGCCTACCATCCACAGGGCCCCTGAGAGTTCAGTCAAAAATAAAAAGAACTGGATGGGGGACAAGTGAATATGACAAGTCCGACTATCTTCTTAAATAAGAGAATAGCTGAGGTCCCTGGCCATTCAAATTGTTTAGTAATAGTTGAGTGTCTAGTTGTCTCTTTTGACTGTATGTGCAAGGATTTTGTTGATTTGAAATGATCAAAATGAACTTTTGCTGATCTTTCTCAGATTGGCTTTTGTTCCCATTTACAGAAAGCAAGACCTTTAACATACAGTAGTGCACTGGAAGCCAAGTTGCTCATTACTTACATAAGCCATGAATCCAACTGTCATTGATGGAGCTAAAGACATTATAGCTGCTTCTCCCAAACAATATCTATCTGGCACAGAGATTCAGACAGAACTGACAAGCCCAGAATCATCTGTTTCATATGCTTTTTTAGCCTAATCCTGATGCTGTTAATTGAACAAACCTGCATGTAATATAATCAAAGGGACTGGTCCTTTATCATTCTCAACTCTTACTGACATCAGTGGGAACTACAAGTGGTCAACACCTGATGAGCCCCATAAAAACTTATCCAGAGGTGGAGAAGATCTATTGGGGCCTCATACAAACATTCAGTTTCTCCTGGGAAAGTCGCTGTTCTTTTGCAAGAAAACCATGAGTGTATAGAAGTTCAGGTTGATCTCCCAGGATAAAAATGGCTGCTCTAGGTAGAACAACAAGGGTTAAATCACACTTGGGAGAGTTTCTCCTGGGAGAGGAAATGTCTGCACTTACTGTCAGTCATCTCCTCACTGTTCCAGATGTTCCCTATGGGGTAGTCATTTCAACATATCATATATGAAGTGCACTTACTAAGACAAGTGTATGTAGTGTGATATAGCTCATAAATATAGCAATAAGACAACTTTTTAACCAGTTACTAAGCTATTAATAACTATGAACTAATTCTGCCCTCTAAGACTAAGTATTTTTTTATGTTATCTGTAGAAACCTGAGGCCACACTGAGTACCGTTTTGAGTACAACTTCCACTCATTTAAATTGGATGTTCTGTTTACAACCCACAAAAAAGATATTGTCAGTAGGTATGGAGGATTTCACCTTTCTGTCTGCCTCTTATGAAGAGAAGACTAGTGTGGAGCAGAAGATAATATAACACAGAAGTATATGACAAGGAAAAATTTGCATATGTATTTCCAAACATTTATTGGAAACTCTAAATAGCCTTTTATATTCTAGAAATATAAATCTTTAAGAATTTTATAATAAGGTGTCTTTGTATTTACCTTGCAGAAGGAAGTAAACTTTGGATTGCGGTGATAAATACAAGAACAATAAATGCACACACCAAGTTTGACTTGAACACTTCATCTCTCATTTGAGAATACTGGAATAAAAAAAAAAAAGAAATTAATTAACTTTTGGTTCATGCAGCATTTTTTTTTCAAAGAGTAATGAGGATTCTAGAAAATTAGCAATAGGAGGTGGTAAATTAATCAGCTTGTTAACAATTTATTGTTAAAAAAAGAAAGGAAAACACCAAGTCAAGAATAAACTAATAAACTCTCCTCATCAAGGGAACAAACCTGAATATTTCACTTTCGAATACGTGTTTTTGCTTAGTTGCCTTTTTGTCTAAATTCTTTTCATTGAAAAACAGTGATGAGTATAACAGATGATCAGCTACAGAGACCACAGATTCCAATAGGGAAAGGCCAAGCAACAGAGTTCAGATCTAGATCTGAAGCATTCCCCAGTTTGGTAATGTCCGGGAGACTGTCTCTATCAAAAAGCAATTGGAGACAAATGCTGAAGTCAACTGGGACTGAACACATGCATTATGTTACATATGTGCATAATTGCTTGTGGCATAAAGGCCATTGCACTTCCATGTATAAGTAATATCTGTCTTTCCTCTGAAGTAAGCAAAGAGACCTATGGGTGATGTATGATTATTTTGTTTGTGGTTTGAGGGTTCGCATTTTATGTCGAGATTGCAGATGACTGCATAGAAGCTGCACTGATTTACACCAGCTAAGAATCTCACTCATGACATGTAACATAATTCAGCTTTCACAGCTCACCTGACCTTTGCGTGTATTAAAAGATATCACTAAGAGCTTTGATCAATTGTCAGATTTTTTTTGTTCATAATCACAGTCCTAATACTGCAAACCATCAACTTTGGAAATACTGACAGACCTCCCCACTACACCCCAAGCCTGCTCCCCAGCTACTGTCTAGCACTATTGCCAGCTTAGGAAACTGGGTCAGTTAATATGAGAGGACTGGTTAACCTAGAAGAGATGTGATCCAAGCCATCAGCTAGTATAAACCAGGATATCTCCATTAACTTCAGTGGAGCTATGCTGACTTACTCCAGATAAAGAGCAGGCTCATCTACACATTTAAAAAAAATTGGCAGTGTCCATCTATACTGTAGTATTGTTATGAATTTTTTAGTATGACGCATAAATAGATGTTTACGCTAACATTTTCTCTCCATTTTTTAGGAAATTGTCCCTCTTTAGTTTACCAGTGAATAGGGACCTGCCGAATTTATGGCAGAAGTGGGGTGCACTGCAGCTCCTTCAATCTTGCAGGTTCCCACATGCGCCCCTCTGCTGCTGATTGCTGGAGGGGTGCCGCTTGCAGCTTGCTTTTGACTGGTGGGGAGGCAAAAACTGTGGCTTTTAATATGGTGCTGTTTTTGCCTCCTGCTGCTGATTGGCTGAGGGCCTCAGAGGCCCCACTGCTTGCTGACGACTGGTCAGGAGGCAAAAATGGTGCCATGTTTAAAACCATGGCTTTTGCTTCCCTGATGATCAGGAGGGAATGGCAGGGCCCCCTCTGCCAATCAATGGTGTGGTGGGGAGGGGGCGAGGCATGCGGGGGAACATACAAGATTAAAGGAGCTGCTGCGCACCCCACTTCTGCCATGAATTTGGTAGGTCTCCCTACCAATGAATTGTATATCCAGAGGTCCAGAGAGCCATAATGAAAACATGGGCATGACTGGGACAAAGAGCAATGCCAGGACACAAGCACCACAGAGGGCAGTAGTGCTCTCCTGCGTAGCTCAGCCCTCTGCTGCTGGGCCTCCTTCTGAAGGAGGAGGGCACTGGGGTTTACACCACGCTGGCCACATCTACATGAGATGCTGACTCTGCAGTTATTATTGCACAGTTTATACAAGTACTAAATGAGGAGGCAGTAACTGGAGTTCTTGTGCAGTAGCATTACTGACTGCGCTGACTGAGCAATGGCTTGTTACTACTGTGCAGTAGCATCGTGTCATGCTTTCTGCCGGGTGACGCTAACTGCACAGTCAGCATCTCGTGTAGACATGGCCTCTCTCTCTCTCTGGATCCTGCTTCATTGCATCTATCAACATCTGGTCAAATCCTGTTGGCTTCTGTCACGGAGAAGGTTCTTCTCTTTCCCCCATTCCTTTCCATTGCATCTTCCTCCCCCACAAAGGACTCCCGTGTACACGCCTTGCTGCAGCAACGGGAAAATGATATGATTTTTGACAGATTCACTTCTGCATGCAAGGTCATTAATTTTACTTTTCTGCACTCGACATGTTTGCTTGCATTGGCAGAAAGACAGCACAGCCTTGGCTTGCTTTGTAGAAACAGATTATTATTTCCCTAACGTGCTTACCAGGAATAGCTTCCTACCTACTTCTGGAAAAGGGATGTGAATTTTTGAAGCCTAGAGTATGCTACCTGAGTCATTAAGGGACAGATTCAGGGACAGGAATTTTAGGACCCAGTTCATATTTAGGTGCCTAAACTCACCATGGTTCAACACCTAAATAAGAGTTAAGTTCCTCTGAGCTGTTAGCTGCATTGACACCATCATGGTACCGAAGAAAACTGGCACAATCAATTCAGATCATCTGCTCTTTGTAAAACACAAACTTCTTCTCCTCTGAAATATTAAACCATGCTTTCATTATTGAAATATATTAAAGACTCGGTACCATAGTCCTCATTCAGAAATAAGCTATCACTGAAGTCTGTGAGGGTTTTACCGCCTCAGGAGTATGGGATTGGGCCAGTGGCTTTCACAAAATACCAAGGAAAACCAACGTGCCTTCCATTGACAAGAATTGCTTATGGAAACTATAGCAAATTAATTTCCTGCAGCACAAGGTCAGCATTTCCTGCTATGTTTAAAATGTTGTAGAAAGGATAAAGGCCTATGTGACACAACCAGTAACTGTGTCTCAACAAGAATTTGCTTTTAATGGTTCCAGAGCAGCACTGATGCCAGTGATAAACTTAGCACTTCTCTAGCAATTTCCATATTTAAAGTGCTTCAGAGTCATTAAGGGATAGATTAAGTGTTGAGTCCTATTTTTCACTACGGGGAGAGATGTACTTAGGCTGTTCCAGGAGGAGCAGGGTCTATCTAGACAGCAGGCACAGTACTTGTTACAGCACAGCGCGGAGATATCTGGCCCAGCTTTAAAGAGGTGAGCTCAGGTACTGGTACCAAAAACACTGAGATCAGCACAGGATCATTTGCTCTGCTCCGTGGGTGGGTTTTACAGCCCATACTGATTCCTTGCTGCTGGGGCTAGACTGCTACTGGTATCCAAGCTAGCAAGTTCAAAGCTAGCTCTGGTATAGCTACATTGCAGTGCTGTGACTGAAGTTAGACATGCCCTCAGAGATGCGTGATGCTTCCTCCGGTTCATATCTTGCATTGGGAGTGGTAGGGGAGTAATTTACTATCGCACCTTTTCAGGGTTCAGTGTAGACCCATGCTGCCCCAGTTGCTCTGCTCATTCCCCACCCCCTCCATCAACTGTGGCTGCTTAAAATTAGGGCCCATAACTGGTCTTAATTTAATAGTACTGGGTGCATCTACACGGGATGTTTACTGTGGAGGTGAGTAATTAGCTCTGCCATAAACATCTCAGCATCTATACATGAGGCCCTATTAGGGTGCAGGAAACTAATAAACTTTGCAGCAGGCTAGGACTTGTAAATACAAATCCTACCCTGCTGTGGAGTTTTTTTGTGTGCAGCAGCGTATGTGTGGATGCTGACCCAGCTAGCTGGGGCGTGAAGGTGCTTCCATGCTGGTGTGCCAGCTAGCCCTGCACTGAAGCACTTTCATGCCCCAGCTAATCCCTCCATGTGGTTGGATCAGCTCTGGGCTGGCAGGTGAACCTCCGGCCCCACACCACCCGGAACTGCTCTGACCGGGTTCCACATGCTGCGCGTGAATAAACACCGGAGCTGATTGCTCCAGAGTTAATTGCTCCCGAGCGCACGTTCAAATGGCATACCCAGGAGCATAAAACTCCAGATCAATAAGCTCCGGAGTTTATTCATGTGCACTAATTGTACGTGTAGATGTTCCCAATGGTAATCATGATGATTATCATCATTAACCCCTAGAGGCTACAGTGAAAGACCAGGGCTTTGTTGTTTTAAATGCTATATGAGCATCAGAAGACAATCCCAGCCCTAAATAATTCACAGCTTTTTGAGGTATTTTTAAGAATACAGTAATTGAGATGTACATATTGCATGGGAACGCTTTAATATCGAAATGGGAACAACCTCCCCATAGCTACTTCCTCCTAGAGTCTCTGTGATGGAATGGAGTTCTTGGTAGGAACGGGTTGTGAGATGAGAGGCATGTCACTGAGGCTTAGACTTTCTTTAAGGACATTCCTATATCTAGACTTTCCTGAGCAGAATCCTTCCTATAGTGAAAAATTCCCTGCTATGGTGAAAAAGTCCCTGCCTCTCCTGATTTCTTTTGTATGCAAAACTCATGGTATTGGGGAATCTTCATGTGAAAAATCTGAGGTTCAGAAAACTCCATACTGATGAAAGGCAATTTATGGGGAATCATCTAAGGTGAGAAGCAATCTCTTTTATGAGATAATATAAACCCCTATTATGAGAAATTTCCCATATTTTGATGTTACAAATTCAACAGCTCTTTAGTTGCATTTCCTTTGTTTTGGTTATTTGCCTACATCCTGTTTGTGAAAATATCTCCTAGCAAAACTGGAAGGTATATTTGGAGAAATACTCCACAAAATGTCTCACTTGGAATCTTGCACAAGCCTCTCCAAAAAACCCCCCAAAAGACTCCAGGTGGAGTTCACTGTGCTATTTATTTTTTTCTCCCTGTGGCGAAATCACACTTTGTGATATAATTCTGATTGTCATCTGCTGTGGCATTTGTCTTCCTAGAAGATCCCAAAAGGACAACAGCAGAATGAAAGTCTGTTGCTGAAATTTGTCACCAAGCTGCATCATGCTAAGTCAAACGAGGGTGATGGTCTAGTCCCTTCCTGGTCATCTAAGTGTCCATATTTGGTCATCTACATGGTGTTTTTGGTCATCTAAGTGC